TCTGCACTACAACACAGCGGCACGACAGCATCTTGTGTAAAATAGAATTCCTTTCATCAGAGCAAAGCGAACATCTGGGTTAGAATTAGATACAAAGATGTGTTTGAATTACAGCAAAACAGAGAAACATGAAAGCAGAGACTAGACAAAGTGAAATTGAAGAACACTTTTTTAAAGAGAGAAGGAAGAGGGGAAAAAAAGGTGTTGACAACTTTGCTAACGCCTGCCAGTCTGTCTGTAGCACATGGCCTCCTTCCACTACATTGAGCTTTATTCACACACTACCAGTCAAAACAGACAGTTTGTACAATGGACATATGTCAAACAGCAGCCTAACAGCAGCCAGGGAGGACACTGTGTGCATCTGTCAAGAAATGAACAAACACTTGCAGCTGTCACAACAGAAAAAACGCAGCAAGAACACAGAGAACAGTGACACCTCCGTCACTTGAGTCATGACGTGGACGCTGGATTCACTGAGCAGGAGAAATAGTAACATCTGGCTCGCCGTACTGTTTCTTCTGACTTGCAGTCTACTTATTTACTCCTTTTACATTTTATATCTAATATTTTAATTGGACCTCTTTCTGTCGCCCCAAATCTCATTACTCTTGTAAAGAGCAATAACCTCATTTCCTGGCTGGATCAACTCTGTGTCATTTTAATTTGGGAATAATAGCAATTCAGCTGCTTAGCAAAAGAAAGAAAAGAGTACAAACAGACAACATCACCGACAACAGCATGAGCTCAAGTTTAAAAGAACTCTTGCTCGCTCTGCACTTACACAAATCAACTAGTTTCCTGACACTAGCTGTGATCTGAGGTGACACTCTACTTCCTATGTTCATTTGCCCTTCTGCACTTCTGTTTCCCCGAGGAGGCCGGTCTGAAGAATCAGCCTTGAGTAATGAGGTTTAGGGAGGGGAAGAGGGCAAAGTCAAACTGCCAAGAGGACCCTGTATGGGTGGATCATCAAATCTAGTTTATCCTGAAGTTCCATTACACACGGAAAAAGAAATAAAGAATCACTTCAAGACCTTGGTGCATTTCCCTGAGGAGAAGGGACGGGCTGGCCAGAAGGGGTGGCCAACCCATTGGCGGACAGATTGAAAGGCCGGATCACATGAGCAGATGAGAGAGGAAAAGCGTGAGGTGGAAGGGTGGGCCGGGGAATAATAGCATGTCCATTTGATGCTCAAGTGCCCTATATCACCAAAGATTTTTCAGTGTCAGGCAGCACACGTAAGGAAAAGCACATTACATCACGTGGATGAGAAACAAGTGATGGATGGATAACGCGAGCAAAGGAAAGGAGATCTTTGGAGAGGTTTAAAGAGTGTCGTGTTAAGTGACATACTAACAGCTATACTTCGGGAACATTAAAGAAGATGATAGCGCTCACTTTGAGACAAAACACAGCCACATAATATGGGTGGATGCACTCACATAAAAGAAAACATTTCAGGGGTGACAAAAAAAAAGAGGAAGTGAGGGACAAATAGCATCCAGACAGAGACAGCTACTTAAAAGAGCATTTTGGCTGAAATCGAAATTTAGAGCAATCTCAACTGAAGTGTGAATTGTCATAAAAAAAGGCATCAAGAGTGGAGAGAAAGAGATGGAGGGGACAAATGACACACAAAAGCAAATCCCCCCAAGAGCAGCATCCTAGCGGTGCCTGTGTTGCTGATGTAGGAGGAACAAAAGCGTAGCAAATGGACCACAGCAGCCATTTTCAATTATGTACTAAGTTGGACCACCTCCCATACTATGGGCTGTTAACGGTAAGCAACAAACAGCTTGTCCGTGCTTCCATGAGCTCAGTGAGACTGAGCTCCATACAATGCAGAGACAAACAACAAAAAAACTTTCTTTTGTTTATGTCTGTTTAATGAACAGAAGGCTGAGAGGAGGAGATAAGGCTGGAGAGTGACAGGAGAGGACAAATGGGTGGGTGGATTTTCACTGTAACACCAGACAGTTTGGTCATGATGCCAACAATGCCCTTCAGCAAATTATGTAAAGGTTAACACAGTCATATGATTTTTGGATAAGATTTTGGAGCCAGAAGTAGAAGCAAAAAAAGAAAGAAAACAGCATCATTAGCAAGTCAGTAACACACTGCAGTGCTATCAGGGATCCACTGATCCTTCTCATGTTAGCCAGCTTAAGTCATTTCCAGTATCCTTTGTATACACTGGGTGATCTCCCTACACACTGCGGAGCACTGGAAAAGCTCTCCTGCCGGTTCCCAGGAGTGACACGATCGCTTCAATCTAGGCGCAAAACCTAATATAAAGAATGACTTTTCTCTGAGACCACTCAAGCTCCTGTGAATATGAGCTTGTTCCTATGCATCTGTTTTTCACTTTACATCTACATCTCTATCTCATCCTCCAGTTCCCATGGTAGCGCTCTTGCGCACATACACACTTGAAGTGTACGCTTTTCACTCTGATCAAATCTTTTGCAGTAAAGCCCAAGAGTAGACTCTAGCCAGAGGAAAGAGGAGACGCACAAGCATGCAGAAGAGACAAAAGTGCTGTCAAGGTCTCAATTAACCTCACAGAAGCCCTGACTACATTACAGAAATGACTCATTTGAAATTTATCCACCCGTAATAACATCTTTTTTTTTTAATCAATTAAATGTTGAGTTCCTCTGATATTTGATTCTATAACATGTTTTAAATACACTAGTTTTTTTAGGGGCCAAAGTGATGCACTCATTTCAACAATGCAAAGCAATCCATCCAACAGTTGCTTCATGAATACGCAGATTTATTGAGGCAAGCTGGTGCGTATCATCAGTAGGGCTGCCACGATTAGTCGACTAGTCACGATTACGCCGACTATCAAAATCGTCGACGACTGATTAAATAGTCGACGCGTCGTTTGAAGCTTTGTAAGATCCCAAAAGACGCAGGAATAAGTAGTAGAGATGGACCGATCCGATATTACGTATCGGTCCGATACTGACCCAAATTACTGGATCGGATATCGGCGAGAAATAAAAAATGTAATCCGATCCATTAAATATCAAAAAAGCACCTCACAAAGCTTGCTACACGGCGTAACTCGGCTCATAACCGTAGCACGTCGCAGCAGTATACGTCACGTGATAGAGCCGCTGTGTGTATTTGTAGCCTTGCTAGCAAACCAGCATTTCATCTCCGAGGAAGTTTTCCCAGAGAGAAGTAAAGCAAGTGTGTAAGTTCATCTCTGAATGTTTGTAAAGCATTCCCACCTTAAGCTTAACAACCGATATATGGAGCGACTGCCTCTCTCTCTCTCTCCTGCTGCTACTTCAATCGTGAACTGCTTAATGATCAGCTGATCGGCTTTCTGTCGAGAGTCCGTCTCTCTTCTTAGTTTTTGGCCCACTTCTCACCAGAAAGAGGAAACCAGCGGCTGAACAACAGCAGCACTATTAAGCTTGATAAGCTGTTGTTAGAATTTATTTAATATTACTTT